GCTTGCTTTGACTTCTTCAAGGCAGCCTCTGCGGCAAGTGCAGCAATTCCACCTGGAGGAGGCGCTTGTTTCGTCTTTTTCAAAGCAGCCTCGGCGGCAAGAGCAGCAAGTCCGCCAACGGTGGGTTTGGCAAAAGAATYTRTTGGCTCTTGCTTCTGAGATCTTTTCAAAGAACTTCCTTTGGCTTTCTTGGATTTAGATTTTGCCGCTTTTGCTGCACGTCTCGCTTCTCGTTTCTTCTCCTTTGCCTAGTAAAAAGARATCACAGCATTAGCAAGCATGCCAAACGTCTGATAAATTGGGATTTAGATTGCCATGTTCTTACCTGTAAGCGTTCGATCTTTTCTACCTGTACGATGGCCTTTTTCCATTCCAACATGAAGCGTCTGAGAGTACCAAAGAAGTCACCGGTTGCCATTGTTTCATCCTCTCCAAAGTAACCCAAAACCAACAGATATTTTGCCTTCACACTTTCAACTGATTCCATTGCTTGCTCACAGGCGACTTGAGCATTCATAGTAAAGCGCTCCATCGAGGTCCGACCCGTCAAATGAGTAATTTTGTTGAATTGYGCAACTCCTCCAACATACTGCACAATGGATTTTTGCTCCATCAAGTCCGCAAGCGTCGGTTTCGGTATTTTCCCGGCCTTTTCCAACGCTTCGGCCTCTTTAGATACGATTTTYTTGATATCTACAACCTCTGCTTGGAGTCCTTTAAGATCTCCTATTACCGTATCAAGTAAAACACTCTCTGCAGGAATAACGCAAGTGAGATCAGTTTCAAAGCACAATAGGGATTCGTCATTTTTCTTCACAAGCTTGACTACGTAGTGCAACACACTAGTTTTCTTGTCGAAAGCTTTCGCCTAAAATACAACGGAAAAAAGGATTAGYACATCTTTTCTTGTACGGAGCAGTTGAGAGTACGATAAGATATACTTACTTCATTCAATTTTAGCAATGCGTCAAGAGTAAATCCCATTGCTAGGTTGCCTTCACCGCCTGTATTGATCTGATTGACGACAGTCAAAATCACTGCCATCAGTTTCCTAAATTTTTCCGATGATCGCAGCTGCTCACATGCTCTATTCAATATGCGCACAGACGCTGTCATATCAGCGAACCGGGTTTTGAAGCCATTTCGGAATTCCATAGTGTGGAGTTTTGCTTCTGCATCGGGCACTTCCATTAGAGTAACCATATATTTTTCAGTCTCGCTAAGAKACTTGTATAGCTCTTTCTTCTTTTCTTCCGAATTAGCTCCCTTGCTCATGTAAGCCGTGAGCCCTCTCCGCTCATCTGCCGTYGCAAGATATTCTCTGAGATTTTTCAACTGCGTGGCATCGAACTTATTGTGTTCCCTGAAACAGAAAAAAATAGTAGTGGGCAATGTAAATGAGAAAAATCAATATCCAGCACCACRATACAAAATGGAAGGATTGACAAGACGAGAAGACGAGAAACTTACATGCTATTGACATACTCTGCAATCTTCTTATGGTCAGTCTTGATCCTAGAGAGCACAATACCCCCGTTCATCGACCGTTTTGGATCGATTGATTGAACCAGTTTTTTCTCCTTCTTTTCCGCTGGAGCCGTTTTCTTCTTTTTCACGTTGGACTCGGCCGATTCCGTGAAAAGTTCTTCGAATTCCTTCTGATCATAATCCAAACTTCCCATCTCAACATGATTTCGAACAATGCTCCATAATGAGTCTTTCTTTAATTTACTRGGATCGATTGGATTCCAGTAAATCTTCTTCCTTCGAACCTTTTTCTTCTTCTTCTTGACAATTGTCTTTTCTGCGGCTGAAATCGATTTCGATTTCTTTCGCTGATACTCTAAAGACATGGACGGATCCAGGTCTATGATTCCAGGATCTTTGCCGTCCCGAAGCAAGGCATTTTTTACAGCATCCCTTGGCAAGCCCATTTTTTCCATTTTGAAATATTTAGCGTATTCGGGATCGTCTTTCAATGGGGTCCCGACGTCTTTTTCTTCGATACTGTTTCCACCCAGTTGTGCTTTCAAGCTCTTATTGGGGTCGAGATCTATAATGCTGGGGTCCTTGCCATCGCGAACGAGAGCATTCTTGACGGCTCCTTTTGGMAGCCCCATTTTCTCCATCTTGAAGTATTTTGAATATTCTGGATCGTCCTTGAGTGGTGGTCCGTCATCCTCGGCTTCTTTCGTTTGATTTTCTTGCGACTTCAGACTCTTGTTGGGATCAAAATCAAGAATCTTGTGGTCTTTCTCGTCCCGTGTCATTGCGTGCAAAACTTGTTCTTTTGGCATGCCCATTTTGAGCATCTTGAAGTACTTGGCATACTCCGGATCGTCCTTGAGTGGTGGTCCGTCATCCTCGGCTTCTTTCGTTTGATTTTCTTGCGACTTCAGGCTCTTGTTGGGATCAAAATCAAGAATCTTGTGGTCTTTCTCGTCCCGTGTCATTGCGTGTAAAACTTGTTCTTTTGGCATGCCCATTTTGAGCATCTTGAAGTACTTGGCATACTCCGGATCGTCCTTGAGTGGTGGTCCATCATCCTCGGCTTGTTTCATTTGATTTTCTTGCGACTTCAGACTCTTGTTGGGGTCCAAATCAAGAATCTTGTGGTCTTTCTCGTCCCGTGTCATTGCGTGTAAAACCTGTTCTTTTGGCATGCCCATTTTGAGCATCTTGAAGTACTTGGCATACTCCGGATCCTCTTTCAATGGCGGAGGAAGCTGG